ATATATGTACCTGTTTGTTTAATCTAGGGAATTTACAAAGGTCAGAATTAGAAAAATACACATATTTTTTTTTCTTTTTCAGAATTTTGTCAAATATCCAGGACTTGTTTTCTCAGTTACAGGCACAGTAGGCTCTGTTTACCCTTTTAGTAGTAGCACATTAATGTAAAGCTTATAAGACACTTTCCTCAGCATTTAAGAAAAAAACTTGGTTTACTTTGATGATTTTTAGAAATACAAACTCATTATAGAAAATTTGGAAAATATAGTATAGAAAGCTCTAAAGAACATCTAAGAGATGATCTCTGTTGACTTTTTGATGCATGTTCTTCCAGTCTTACATATTTCATATTTATACATATACACAGATAACATTTTAGAAAACATAATTTACATCTACTCACATGCTTCTTTCTTCCTACTTCTTTGTCTCTTTTCCATTTTATCTACTTTTAGCCTCTCCCCCTCTGTGTGAATTCTGGAATTTCTCTTTATGCACCCATACATAAGTCTATCTGTTTTACTTTCACACAATTAGAGAGGCTAGAGCCATTGAAAACATGCTCCAGATGATAGTTAGATAATACTAGATAGAAAAATAGATAGATGATAGATATATACAGAGATAGATAAGAAAAGAAGGAAGGAGAGAAAGAAGAATTCATGTATTGTTTGTTTATTTAGATATAGATCTTCTGCATATAAATGGTTTCATGACCTTTGGTAGAAAAAATTTTTCTTGCTTCTGTTTTAGGTTCTTTAAAGACCATCATTCATCCTTCTCTTTGTACATGTAATTTCTTCATCACACTTTCTCATTTCCACAGAAATTCTTTGTATAGTCTTAAGTTTATACCTAATTATTTGCATTGACTTCAACTTAAATTGGCTGTTTCTACACATGCTCTGTGGAAACCCCTTCGTTTCCTATTTCTTAATGGCTCCGTTGTTTAGTATGATAGTTCAGGGCTAGAAGGAACTCTAGAAGGAAGTAAATTCTGTTCTGCCTCTCACATCTTCCTGTCCCTTTATGCTATGCCTCGTGCTGTGTGAATTCCTCCCATAATACACTTCCTTAGTGGCCATCTACCCAAGATTGGCCATCTTCAATGTCAGGAAACTCACTACCTCTTAAGTGACCCGGAATATTTTTACATTGCTTTAACACTTAAAATACCCTTTTCTCTGTCACTCTCACTCAGTGCTATTTCTAATTGCTGGAGTTCCACAAAACAATTAAACCATCAAATTATTTGTTTAAAAGGTTCTTTGAAAAACAATTCTATTTACAACAGCATCAAAAAAAAATATTTAGGAATAAATTTAGCCAAGGAGGCTAAAGACTTACACACTGAAAACTACAAAATATTGCTGAAAGAAATTAAAGAAGACACTGATAAATGGGAAGACATCCTTGTTTCATGGATTAGAAGATAATATTGAGATGTCAGTGCTACCCAAAGAGATCTACAGATTCAATGTAATCTCTATATAAATTCCAATGATACTAGATAAAAAAATGGATAAGGAAAGAAGAAAGAAGGAAAAATTTATGTATTGTTTACATAGATCTTCTGCATATAAATGGTTTTGTAACCTTCTGTCAAAAAAATTTTTGTTTTTGTGAAATAGAAAAATCCATCCTAAAATCCATATGGAATCTCAAGGAGCCCCAAATAGCCAAAACAATCGTACAAAAGAAAAACAAAGTTGGAGTTCTCAACACTTACAGATTTCAAAATATACTACAAACCTGCGGTAATCAAAACTCTATAGTACTGGCATAAAGATAGATATATAGATCCATGGAACAGAACTGTGAGTCTAGAAATAATCCCATGCATTTAAGTCAACTGATTTTCAACAAGGGTGTTATGACCATCCAATGGGAAAGAATAGTGCTGGAACAATTGATAGCCATGTACAAAAGAATAAAAATCAGACCCTTACCTTAACACCATATATAATAATTAACTCAAGATGAATCAAGGATCTAAACATAAGACCTAAAACTATAAACTCCTAGAAGAAAACATAGGAGAAAAGCTTTGTGACATTAAATTTGACAATGATTTCTTGGATATGATGACAAAAGGGCAGACAACAAAAGAAAAAATAGGCAAATTGAGCTACATCAAAGTTAAAAGGTTTTGTGCATCAAAGGACATGATCAGCAGAATGAAAAGGCAACCCACAGAATGGGAGAAAATATATGTAAATCATATATCTGATAAGGGGTTAATATCCAGAGTATATAAAGAATTTCTATAACTTAATACCAGAAATTAAACAACCTGATTAAAAATGGATAAAAGACTTAAGGAGACATTTCTCCAAAGAAGATATACAAATAGCCAATAAATACATGAAAAGATACTCAACATGCCTAATCACTGGGCCATGCAAATCAATACCATGAGATATCACTTCACACCTATTAACTCCCTATTATTAAAACAAACAAACACATAAAACAATAACAGGAAATACCAATTGTCTGTAAGGACATGGGAATATTGGAACCCTTGTGTGCTGTTGGCAGGAATATAAAATGGTGCAGCCACTGTGGGAAACACTTTGGTGGTTCTTAAAAAATTAAAAATAGAATTACCACATGATCCAGCAATTCCACTTTTAAGTTTATACCCAAAAGAATTGAAAGCAAGGTCTCAAAGAGGTGATGTTTGTGATAGCATTATTCAAAATTGCCAAAAGGTGGAAACAGCCCAAGTATCTATCGATGGATGAACAGATAAACCACATGTGGTCTAAACATACAATAGAATATTATTCAACCTTGGAAAAGAAGGAAATTGTGACACATGCTACAACGTGGATGAACCTTAGGACATTATGCTGAGTAAAATAAGCCAGTTGCAAAAGCACGAACACTGTTAATTCCACTTAAATGATTCCTTAGAGTAATCAAATTCATAGAGACTGAAAGTGGCATGGTGGTTTCCAGGGGCTGTAGGAGGGATTAATGGAGAGTTACTATTTAATGGATACAGAGTTTGAGTTCTGGAAGATGAAAAGAGTTCTGAAAATGATTGATGGTGATGGTTGCTCAACAATGTGAATGTTGAGTGTACACTACAAATGTATATAATGCCCCTGAACTATACATTTAAAAAGGGTTGAAATGATAAATTTTGTGTTATATATATTTCACCACAATTTTTTAATTAAAAAAAAAGATCTTCAAATATCTGAAGGCTGCTGCTATCATGGTCCCATGGAATAATCTCTCTAGAGTAAACACATAGACATAGACATAGGTGGTTGTCATAATCATCATCATCATCATCTCCATTTTATTATTATTATTTTAAAGATTTTATTTATTTGAAAGAGAGAGCATGAGTGAGGGAGAAGGGCAGAAGGAGAGCAGAAGCAGACTCCCCACTGAGCAGGGAACCCAATGCGGGGCTCAATCTTAGGACCCTGGGATCATGACCTGAGCCAAAGGCAGACACTTAACCAACTGAGCCACCCGGGCACCCCTCATAATTTCCACTGTAGGAACAAGGAAACAGGTGTAGAGAGGGTAATTTTCAAATTCACAGAGCTAGTTAGTATAAACCAGGCCTTGAACCCAAGTTGTGTGGCTCCAGAGTCCTCACACTTACCACGGAAGGGGCATTTGATGTTGGTATCTCTCACCTCCTACTTCCAACCCCCAGGCAAATGTGCAGGTGAGCCTGCTTTAAAAACACCCCCAACAACAACAAATTCACTGTGGATAAATTAGGGAACAGCTACTCAACTTTACAAAGGAGCTTGTTGTCATAAGTGAACCATTTTCAATAACAAGCTCCTCCTGGGACAGGTCAACTAGTTAAAAAGTCACTAATGACTTCCAAGAAGTACTGGAGCAGAGAAACCCAGCCAACAGGTTAGGATCACTGCCAATTAAAGATTAGAACGGTAAAGTATTTCTGGTGTAATGTCCACATTCATAGAAAAACAGTTTTAAAAACTTTTCTTGCACACACATATTTTCCCTGAATAATGGCTATGTGTGGGAGAAATTGTAAAAGCAGAGGGGCTCTGCACAGCGCCTCACTAGGGGTCTCCACATGAGCAGTTTGCCTCCCAGCCCTTCAGTGCTCCCCTGGCATCACTTGACCCAAAGTTCTATTCTCACCTTTGGTAGTACTATTAGTTGGTTCAGTCGTGCACAAAGGTATAATACAGGTGGCTACCAAATTCCAAGGAGTTGCATATAGGTCTGTTCCTTCTGGAAACAGCATGTCATGAAACCCCAACTGCTTTTGTGAAGGGACTACATACAGAGATGAGGCAGGGTGGAGAGAATGGTGTTTGTTACCAAAGGGAACCCAGTAAGAGCTGGTTCTGGGAAGGAGGAAACTCCTGGTGGAAGAGAAGCAGCCACTGTTAGACACTACACCAGGAGAAGGCAGAAAGAAATTCCCTACCTCTCTCTCTTCTCCCCACCAGTTTCTTGCCAGTGTCTCCTTTGGGCAAACCAGAGAGCGAGGGGGCCTGGGTGATACAGTAAGCAAGTGTCAGCCCTCAGGGTATACAGCAGGAGGGGATGGGGTGGAGAGTACATCAGGAGAACAGAAAATAAAGAATGCAATATCTGTATCAGAGTTGGTTAAACTGAGTCATTGAAAGGAAAAGTTTAACATGTTTCAGATCAAAGAGGGAAACCTAGAACCAACACAAGGGTCCCATTTTCCTCTCTGGTCTCACTGATTTTGAATACCTTGAAGGCCTACAAAGAATCATAAACTCTCGGAGGACATCTAATCCCTCAGACTCCTTCCCAATATATGGTGATGTTACAACATGGCCCACAGGGGTCCACCTTTCTTCAGAAGCATTGAGGGTGCTTGTGAGGAGTATGACTCAGCCTCCTGCCTGGATTCATCAGAGACGTTTTCATGAATCACTTGTATGGGAGATGTTGTGGGTGTTATTCTTTCAGTGAATTTGGTACACACACTAAGTGTATCTCTGTTTGATTCATGAAGGTGACTCATCTGAGGAAGTCAACCTGACCATGGTTTATCAGGCAGCTTCTAATGGAGATGTCAATGCTCTGACTTCAGTAATTCGGGAAGACCCTTCCATCCTAGAATGCTGTGACAGTGAAGGTGAGCTATTTATGCATTTTTAATTCTGCAGAATGTTCTGTCCTATTCTTTTAGAGATGGCCTTCAGAGGTGAGCAATGTTAATGAAATTATATATGACAGACCATTTTGATACTGGAGGGACAAGGAGTATCCTGCCTCTGTGGCTGAAAGTCCTTTAGTAATTCTTTACATGATCGTCTTGGACACAAATTTTCCAATTCTTTTATATCACCTTGTATAATGAAGCTAGTTGGTTTGGGTTTACTTTCAACTTCTTTGTATGAATAACTAAAGTAGATAGGCCAAGTAGTTAAAAAAGGAGTATGGAAAGAGGGCTATTTTTGGTAGCATTGGACGTTGGGAAAGTGTGACTATTAAAGCCAGAAAGCAAAGATTTGCTTCTCAGAAGATGGAGTAGATGTACTTTTTTTATTCCTACTGCTAAATATAACTAAAAATCTTGGATGTTGTGTATAATATAAACATAAGAACACTCTGGAAAGTGGAAAGAAAATGACAGACTAGCTAGGACCATGGGACCCAAGGAATGACATGGTGGTAACTTTCCTTGGTTCTCTTTCCAAGTATATCCCATACTTGGAGTTGAAAAAATCCAACAGCCCAGAATGGCTAATAGTCACAGACAAACACACACACACACACACACACACACACACACAAGCCTGCTCTCTAGCCAAAGAACCAGGAAAGGGACATAGCAAGGCAGAGAACTTTTAGACAATAATGAGTCTACTCCAACCAAACATCACACAAATACACAAGCAAACAAGCAAACTAAAACTTGCTGCCCTAGCCCCATCATTCTAGCAAAGACCAAGTAGAAATCTTGGACCTCCACCCCAACTACTCAGCCTCCCTCCCCCTACCTGTTGGGGTGGTGTCAGAGGAAGCCTTTTTGAGAATTAGTATTTTTACCACCACCTAATAATGAAGAGTCTTCTCCCTCAGATGTCAATGGTAGCTAAGTAGGGAACCTGGACTTCTGATCTGACCTGGCAATGATGAGGTGGCACACATACACCTCTACTTCCCCTTTGGAGCAGTGTCAGAGAAAGCCAACTAAAATAGAGGGTTTAAGTAAGGTTAGGTAACTCAATACAATACCCCAAATGTCCAGGTTTCAATAGAAAATTGTTTGTCATATCAAGAAACAGGAAGACCTCAAACTGAATGAAAAAAGACAATCAATAGATACCAACACTGAGATAACAGATGTTAGAATTATCTGACAGATTCTGAAGAGGCCATGAAAAAAGAAATGCTTCAATGAGCAATTACAAACTTGCTCAAAACAAAAGAAAAAATAGGAAGCCTCAACAAAGAAATAACAGACATAAAGAAGAACCAAATGGAAAATTTTAAAACTAAAAAATACAATAATCACAATTCAAAAATTCAGTAGATAAGCTCAGCAGCAGAATGAGGAAGCAGAGGAAAGGATCAATGAACTTGAAAATAGAACGACAGAAATGAGCCAATCTGAACAACCAAGAGAAAATAGGCTTCTAAAAAAAAGAGCATCAGGGACCTATGGGACTATAACAAAAGTTCTATCATTGTTTTTTCCATCCTAGTACTTGTGGGAAATCATTAATGATTTTTAACCAGTGTACCTGTCCAAGAAGAGCTTGGGAGTTCCTTATCATGACAGCAAAATGTTTTGTAAAGTGAATAGTTGCCCCTAATTATCCATAGTAGTTTTATTTGTTTGCTTGCTTGTTTGTTTGTTTTTAAATCAGACTTACATGTACATCTGCTTTGGGGCTAGAAATGGAAAATGAGGAGAGACAAATGTTAAATACCACTTGTATAATAATGCAAGATCCAGACTCTTTGGGTTCAATCCTAGTTTCTACTGCCTTTGAGAGGAAATGAATATATGACATCTTAAAATTTGTGGGGCACAGCTAAAGCAGTACTGAGGGAAAGCACTAAATACATTTATTAGAAAAGAGGAAAGGTATTAGTCAATAATCTAAGTTCTTACCCCAAGAACCTAGAGAAAGAAAAACAAAATAAACCCAAGGAAAGAAATAATAAAGAAAGAATAGAAATCAATGGATTTGAAAACAAAACAAAAAGAAAATCAATGAAGCAAGGAACTGATTCTTTGTGAAAAAAATCAATAAAACTGACAAAATTCTAGCAATACTGACAGAAAATGAAAGAAGTCACAAACTACCACTATCAGGAGTGAAACCAAAGATATCACTACAGACCTTGTGGACATCTAACCAATAAAAAGGAACTACAACAAAAAAACTCTACACACATAAATTTGACTATTTAGATGAAATAGATCATTTCCTCAAAAAAGATAAATTGCAATTCATCCAATAGGAAATAGACTATTTGAATTCCCCTATAACTATTAAGGAAAGTATAGTCATAATTTTTAAATTCCCAGAAAAATAAATTTTCAGGCCTACATAGTTTCTCTGGAATCTTCTACAAACTTTTAAATAATAATTAATATCAATTCTAAATAACCTCTTCCAGAATGAGAAGGAAACTCTTCTCAGTTACACTTATGAAGCTAATATTACCCTGATATTGAAAACAGATGATATAAAGTATGATATAGAAAAAGAACCTAAAGACCAATACTCCTCATGAATGTAAGATAGAGAAAACCTTAGCAAAATATTAGCAAATATAAGTCAGCAATTTATAACTAGAATTACATACCATCACCAATTGGGATTTGTTGTAGGAATGTGTGATTCAGTATTTCAAAATCAATCAGTGTAATCCATCATATTAACCAGCTAAAGAAGAAAAATCACATGATCATATCAATGAATGCAGAAAAGCATGTGAAAAAATTTTATACACATTGGTGATTAAAAACTCAAAAAAATAGGAATAGAGGGGCACATCCTCAATTTGATCTATAAAAAAAGAAAGAAAAACCCTAGAACTAACATTTTACTTAATGGTAAAAAAGACTGAATGCTTTGCCCCTAAGATCAGGAACAAAGCAAAGATGTTCACTCTTTTTTTTTTTTTTAATTAACATAATATATTATTTGTTTCAGGGGTATAGGTCTGTGATTCATCAGTCTTACACAATTCACAGCACTATAGCACATACCCTCCCCCATGTCCATCACCCAGCCACCCCATCCCTCCCACCCCTCTCCACTCCAGCAACCCTCAGTTTGCTTCCTGAGATTAAGATCTCTTACGGTTTGTCTCCCCCTCTGGTTTCATCTTGTTTCATTTTTCCCTCCCTTCCCCTATGATCCTTTGTCTTGTTTCTCAAATTCCTCATATCAGTGAGATCATATGGTAATTGTCTTTCTCTGATTGACTTATTTCACTTAGGATAATACCCTCTAGTTCCACCCACATCATTGCAAAGACAAGATTTCAATTTTTTGATGGCTGCCTAATATTCCATTGTGTGTGTGTGTGTGTGCACAGATGTTCACTCTTACTTATATTCAGCAGAGTGGTGGCAGTTCTAGCCAGTGCAAAAAGGCAATAAAAGGAAATAAAAAGCATATCTACTGAAAATGAAAAAATAAAACTATCCCCTTTTGCACAGCTTGATTGTCCACAAAGAAAATCCTCAGGAAGCTACCAAAAAAACTCCTACAACTAAGTAAGTTCAGCACTGTCACAGGGTATAAGATCAGTCCAGAAAAACAAATTATATTCCTGTATACCAGAAGTGAACACATGGACACCACAATTAAAACTATAATACCATTTGGGATTCCTGGGTGGCTCAGTTGGTTAAGCATCCAACTGTTGATTTCAGCTCAGGTCATGATCTCAGGGTTGTGGAATCAAGCCTTGCATCTGGCTCCATGCTCAACATCGAGCCTGCTTAAGAATCTCTTTCTCTCCCTCTGCCCCTCCCCCTGCTCTCTCTCTCTCTCTCTCTCTCACACTAAAACAAACAAAAACAAAACAAAACAAAAAAACTACAATACCATTTAAAATCACTCAACAAAGAATACTTAGGTGTGAATATAACAAAATATGTACAAGATTTGTATACTGAAAACTATAAAATGCTGATGACAGAAATCAAAGGAGATCTAAATAAATGGAGAGACATCATGCTTATGGATTAGGAGACTCAAGATAGTAAATATGCAGTGCTTTTCAAATTCATATACAGGTTTAATGCAATTCCTATCAAACCCCAGCAAGATTTTTTTGTAGATATACACAGAATTATCTAAAATTATATAGAAAGGCCAAAGAATTAGTAGAGTTAAATCAATTTTGAAAAAGAATAAGGTGGGAAGGAGAACTTAGGAAGATGGAGGAGCAGGAGGACCTGAGCTCACCCCATCCCATGTTTACCAGATATCATCCACATCCAAGTCAATAAACTGGAAAGTGATCCAAAGACTGACAGAAAAACTCCACAACTAAATATAGAGAAAAAGCTGTCTCTGAAAGGTTAGGAAGGTCAGGAAGTTGGGGGGGTGGGGGGGTGGGGAAGCTACCTGCAGGAGAGAGGGGGCTGCACATGGAGAGGACACAGAAACAGGCCCTTACGCAGGGAGCTCACACTGGGAAGACTGATCCCCATAAGGCTTTTTCCTTAAAAACCAGAGGGGCGGGGTGCCTGGGTGGCTCAGTCATTAAGCGTCTGCCTTTGGCTCAGGTCATGGTCCCAGGGTCCTGGGATCCAGCCCCGCATCGGGCTCCCTGCTCAGCAGGAAGCCTGCTTCTCCCTCTCCCGCTCCCCCTGCTCGTGTTCCCTTTCTCACTGTGTCTCTCTCTGGCAAATAAATAAATAAAATTTTAAAAACCAGAGGGGCTGGATTCTGTGAGTTTTTAAAACCAGTGGGACTTGGAGCTTAGAGCTTTAAAAGTCAGCTGACTCAGCTCTGGGTGAGCTTGGGAGGGTGAGTGGTAGCTGGGTTGACACGCTTAAAGAGACAACAGACTATGTGGAGAGGCAATGACAAAATGGCAGTTTACATAACATCAGGGGCAAGTGGGAGACAGATCTGTTCATACTGATTTCTGAAA